AGAATCCATTAAATTTCATCACCGAATTTTATGGATTCATTCAAGGTGTTCCAAGGAATGACCTAAATGAAGGTGATCTTAGGCTCAAGTGTTTCCCTTACACCTTGAAGGAAGCAGCAAGAGGGTGGTTTCTAGTGCAAGTACCGATATCCTATACTACTTGGGATGAAATATACAATGTTTTCATCTCCAAGTACTACACTCCAACAATGACGCAAGAGCTACGACAACGAATCTTCAACTTCAAACAACAAGTTGGAGAACTCTTTCAAGACACATGGAGGCGTTTCAAGTCTTTGTTGAAGGAATGCCCCCATCACCGCATTCCTCTTGACCTCCAAATTGACACTTTTGACAATGGCTTGAACCCATCTTGTCAAGCTATTGTAGACAACCGAGCGGAAGGTTACATAGGCAACAAAACCGAGACGGAAGCGTTGAGGATTCTTGAGTCTATTGCTTCAAATCCTCAACTTCAAGGAGGAGACATCAAGGTGGCGGGAGTGAATGAAATTTCTATCACTCATGAACTTGACAAGAGGTTTGAAGAATTTCAAACCAAATATCAACAAAATCTACAAGCATCAATTCATACGGCCTTACAAGCCGTTATTGGAGGGGCTAAACAAGTGGCCAATATGGAAAGCATCCTCAATGTGGAAGGTAACTCCTCTCAACATCTTGAGGATGTTAGTTACATGAATTCCTACGGTAACCGGGCAAATCAAGGAGGAAATAATTTTTCCAACAACAATCAACAATGGTATAACCAAGGAAACAATTGGAAGCCACGAGGGAGTTCTTCAAACCCTCAACCTGGAGCTCCCAAATTTGGGCAATCACAAGAATCTACTATGAAGGAGATGATGAAGCTTTTCACCAAAAATGTGGCTAGCATCAAAACCCAAAATGAAGAAAATCATAGTAGAATGGAGGCATCCATTGGGAATCTCCACAATCAATTTACCAAACTTGACATGCGGTTTGAAGATCAAAACCGGAAGCTAAATCAACGCATGGACAACATTGATCAATATACCAAGTCCTCTATTCATAACTTGGAAGTTCAAATTGGTCAACTAGCTCAAGAAAAGACTACTAGGGAGCATGGTAGATTTTCTACTACAACGGAGGTCAATCCAAGGGAGAATGTTATGGCTATCACTTTAAGAAGTGGTAAACAAATGGAGGGACCGCTCCCTATATATATATATATCGGGTGAGAAGTGCCCCTTAAAATGAAAAGCGAGAAGTAATCTCAGTTCTTGGATTGACATCTAATCTTACAACGCAGTAAACTTATAGACTGAATATATGAACTTATAACCAATAAATCATAACTTATAAAGCTCTCCATAATAATTACGACAATGCCACCGCGTAAAAAAAATTTCAAAGTTTCCACACTTAGTTTTTTGCGGTGGTATTTTCGTAATTATTTTTCGAAGGGTCTATAAGTTATGATTTTTTGGTTAAAAGTTCCTATATTTAATTAGTCTATAAGTTTGACTTCGCAGTTTTCAGCCTAAGAACACTTCTTACCTGATCCGCTCCCTATATATATACTCTCTCTGTATCTATTTAGATGACCCATTAGGCTTTTTGAGTAATTTAAGAAGAAATATAGGTGTACTATAGATAAAGTAAAAAACACTGTATATGATTAAAATATGTGGGTGGGATGAGGATTTAATGGGGAAGAATATTGGGGTAAGCGAAAAAAAATGGAAAATGTAAATATTTAATGATGGGAGGTTAAAAGGTGGTAGGGTCCATGTCTAAAAACAAAAATGAGACATTTTTTTGATACGTCCCGAAAGGGAAAGCGAGACAAGTAAATAGATATGGAGGGAGTATATATATATATATATATATATATATATATATATATATATATATATATATATATATATAGAGAGAGAGAGAGAGAGAGAGAGAGAGAGAGGAGAGAGTTCAAATAAAAAGAGGCGCTCTCGTGCAAAGTGCGAACGATTGCACTTTTCTGTTGCAAAGTGTGAACAGTCGCAATTGCCACCACGTTTTTGATCAAATAAATTTAGTGCATTGTTGGCTCATTTTGAGCCATTAGATGTGGAAATGAATGCACAAAATTTATTCTCAATTTGCATGGAAAAATCTCTTTGTATTTGAAGTCTCTCATACACATAGAGAGAGGGTGCACTTATAATGGGAACCGTGAGAACACCACTTATAATTTTGCATTGACGAAATATTTACAAAATTGCCACCATATTTATTCGGGTATTAGCCCTTAATAGGACTAAAACTAGCCCAAAATTCAACAATAGGAGTACAATCCTTTTATTCCTAAAATAGGACTAATATATGTCATTTCTTTCCATTCTACCATCTTCCAATAATTTACAATAGATTTATTTTATTAATAAGAAAATTATAGTTTTATTTTTAATAAAAATATAAAAATAATAAAATATTTATAAATTAATAATAAAAACGTGAAAAAATAAGTCAAAAATAAAAATAATTAAAAAATAGGGAGATTTACCTAAATAGGAGTAAATAAAAGGATAATTGCAACAATAGGAGTTTAAAGTTTAAATTCCCAAAATAGGACTAACTCTTCCTATTCTACCCTTTCCTTTGTCCTTGATAATAGGATTTTTAAACAATCATTATAAAATATAAAAAAAATCAAAATAAAAAAATTCGTAAAAAATAACTAAAAAATATATAGACCCCAACCACCACTTCAGCCACCTTCCAGCACCGCCACCTCTGGTTGCCGGAAAAGATTGCCAAGTTGGGGAAAAAATGTCATCATGATGGCAATTTTGTAGAGAAAGCTGGATATTTTCAAAGAATAAAAATGCCATATTTATGACATTTTCAGAGAAATGTGACATTTTCTACACAAGATGACATTTTTTCGGCGACTCGAGTCGGTGGTGCTGGGAGGTAGAGGACGCGTTGGCAGTGACCTACATATTTTTTAAATTTTTTTATGTTTTTTTATTTTATTTTTTGGACTTTTTTAAAAAAAAAATTTATTTATTATTTATTTTTTTTACACGTTTTCATTGTTATTTTATAAATATTTTTTATTTTTTATATTTTTATTATAAATAAAACTATGATTTTCTTATTAATAAAATAAATCTATTGGAAATGATAGGAAGGAGGTACAATGGGAAGAAGAGACATATATTAGTTATATTTTGGGAATAAAAGGATTGTACTCTTATTGTTGAATTTTGGGCTTATTTTACTCCTACTAAGGGCTAATACCCGTAATAACAATAATAAAATATTTAAAAAACTTTAAAAAAGTATAAAAAATAAAATAAAATACCTTACAAATATTTTAAAAATATGTAGGTCACTGCCAACGCTATCTACCTCCTAGCACCACCAGCTCCGGTCGATGGAAAAAATGCCATCTTATGTAAAAAATGGCACATTTATCTGAAAATGGCATGAAGATGACATTTTTACTCTTTGAAATATCTAGCTTTCTCTTCAAAATTGCCCTCATGATGACATTCTCCCCCCCCCCCCCCCCAACTTGGCAATCTTTTTCGGCGACTGGAGTTGGCGGTGCTGGAAGGTGGTTGAGGTGGTGGTTGAGGTATGTATATTTTTATTTATTTATTATGATTTTTATTTTTTTATTTTATTTTTTATATATTTTATAATGATTGTTTAAAAATCCTATTAGGAAGGACAAAGGAAAGGGTAAAATATGAAGAGTTAGTCCTATTTTGGGAATTTAAACTTTAAACTCCTATTGTTGCAATTATTCTTTTATTTAGTCCTATTTAGATAAATCTCCCATATGAAGTTGTCATATTTAGAAAAAGTGAAACATACAAATATTATAGTGTTCACATTGAGTTAAAAGTGGCGTTCTCACGGATCTCACGTTAATCATGATTCTCATTAGAAGAGCCCGGATTGACCAGAACCGCCAGTGGCCAAGCCCGTTTAAGGGCCTTCTAGGTTCAATTTGTTGATAAAATTTTTGTGAGAGTATTCTTCATGAAGTGTAGAACATTCACAAAAAATTTCATCAAAGCATTCAATCGAGAAGCCAATTAAATAAATTGTTGAAAAATAATGCATTTTTATGCATATATTTGCGCAGTGTTTTTCAGCAATTTATTTAACTGACATTTTACATATCCAAAATGTCCTATTTTGGTCAACTTTAGGCTATGTTTGGCAGACATAAGTCCATGCCTTTTAGCTTTTGTACTATTCAAAAAGTCTTTAAAAGCTTTCACTTGTATGTTTGGCATGCCAATTTTTAAGAGCTTTTATAAAAATAAAAGATCTTTTTTGAGATGCTACGGTGAGTAACATCTCAGATAAGTCGGTAGCTTCTAGTATTAATTAGTCTTAACAGTTTGTATACCAAACATAGCTAAATCAAACAGTCAGCTTTTTACCAATCAGATACTGTTTTTTCTTTTAAAGATCTTTTCTTTTCGGTCACTAAAAGCTAAGAGTTACTAAAAAGCTTATAAAATATATTTTCATCTAGTTGTGCCAAACATACCCTTAGTGCATTGTATTATTGGAAAATGCTTTAGAACTTAACATATTACAACTTAATATTTTTTTGTATGTGCAAATATTTATTGTTTATAAAATTGATTTTTTTGGACTAACATTTGTGAGTCCGTGGCCTAACATTATATTTGCAAAATTGTTAATATGAATGATTATGAAAATGTACTCCATAAAAATCAGATTGTGTCTGATCAAGTGTTTCATAAAATAATTATGATAGATGATTTGGAGAAATTCTAAAGTGATTATGTTATCTTTTATTTTTGAGTCATTCTTCATGTAGACACCACACAAACAATTTCTTAATTGTTTCTAAAAAATGTGATTTTTTGACAAATTATTTATGTATACAAAAATTGTGGTGTGTATAAAAAAACAAACATATTGGTCCAAAATACATATTGGTGACTGAGACACATACATCATGTTATACAGAAGCAAAAATAAGCCTTTGAAGAAAATTGAACAGTCCTCATGTACGGATGGGAATTCATTAATTAATAGAGTAATTCTTCTGCCTACAATGCGTATATAGAGACCTCGAAGTTCGTATATGTATACGTTGTACGACGACTGGTACATCAAAAAAGAGTTCTTTTTTACGGAGTTTTTCTCCTCCTCTGCAATAGTTTCGATCAAATCTCCTTCTTCGGAAATCAAGTTCAGATAGATCTTAAGCTGTGTGGTTCTGTATCGGTTTCCATCATTTCATGCGCTATCCGAATTGAGGTTTTATGATACTCGTCAAATTCATTGACCAAGACTTAGAGGGACGACTAGGAGCAGGACACAAGCTTTTGGATCACCTGTGTTGAATCAATCACTAAGGAAATCAATTACTTTAATTTGTGCCGACCGTTGTTCCGTATCAAGAAGTGACAGGCGGCATGGATGTGTAATCGCTTGTATCATTGGCCTTGCCAACGATGTTTCAGCGGAAGGAGCAAACGCCCCTCGAGCTGTACATTGTGACTTGCACCCTTTCACAATTCAAGGCACGTCAATATATTCTTACTTGTTTTAGTAAATTCCCAATTGCGTCATTTGGTTTACTTGGTGACTTGTTTATTGCTTAACAAGGTTATGTGAGTATTGCATACCCTCACCCTGTAATTATCATTGATGTCAATGTGTGGAAAGTTTATATGATGACTTTAGTTACTATTCTGCGTTTCTGTCAATCAGTTGAACTATTTTATCTTTGTTCTTTTCAATCAATTACATAAACTCATATCTATAGATGGGTTACATGTGTGGTAGTTAGATGGGTTGATGCAAAATGGGATATAAAGAATCTGAAGTGTTCCACATTGAATATTTCTCAAGGACAGTGATGGCAAGAAAGTCATGCATACTTAGTGTCAAGGAAGGAAATGATATTATATCATTCATAATGAGCTTCCTGCTTCAGGGGCGGATCCTGAACATTGGGCTGGTTTGGGCTGTAGAGTGATTATATTAGGCTCAAAGCAATAGCGGAGTGGGTCAAGTGGCTAAAAGGGAAAAGTAAAAAAAGTTACACTAAAAAGTTTAAGAAAAATAAGGTTACCTTATGCCATGCTTCTGTTTGCAATGCAGGCCACCTCTTTGTGCCACCTTCAATTGCAGCCACACACACACACACACACACACACATATATATATATATATATATATATATATATATATATATATATCATTAAATGTTAAGTCCTGTTATATCAGAGTTGTAGTACCGACTACCCAGTTAGAAACATGAGGCCTGCTTTGCAATGTTAGGTGGCGACTAATATCAGTTGCATAAATTCAAAGGTCATATTTATGGCTGGACATGTTTTCATTCCTTTTGTATTGATTGTAAACTGTAATAGATCTACATATCTTTGAAAGAGATATTGGTTTCTATTGTGATTTTCAGTATCATGTGCTTTTGAAGACAAATATCATTTTCTTACATCTCTAGTACTGCTAACGGTTACAATCAGTATGTTCAACATGGGTCACATATCTGCTTCCTTATTACTCATTTCAAATTCACCTCCATCTCTATCAACTTCAAACTTGTTTCCATGCATAAATTCATAGCTGGAGTACATGGGTTGGATGGGGACACAGACATTGCAATTCATGCTTTTTATGTAACTGGCTATTTGAGATAAATACATGAGTTTATTAATGCTTATCCTTCTCAAGAGAGGCTCATGCTAGATGTTTAGTTGATAGTTCTACTGTTCTTGATAGCGTGTTTTTGAAAAGAGAGACATCTTCTTCAAATGTGATTTGTGATTTGCACTTTTTCCTATGTTGCATGAATACGGTACCCTTATGGATATTGGGTACATTTTTTGTTAAAAAATGGGGTAGGGTTAGCAACACTTCTCATTGAAACCTCGGTATATATGACGTTTCTTAGCTTTACTTCTTTGGCTTATTTGATTTCGATTTATCTCATTTCTTAGCAGTTGGGAATTCAAATATACTTTACATTTTGCACTTGGATATGTTAATTCGTGGAATCGTGGATTCTCATTTATGTAAATTAGTGTATTACATAGATAAAGGTGGATGAATGGTAGAATTTGTGGATAGCTAGGAAGGAAACATAGGTATATTATTTATTGAGTAGAGAGGTAGCGAGAATGCCATGTATATGTACTGAGGCAAGAAAGGAAAACATAGGTCTAATATGTGGAAAATAATGAATTAATATCAATCCATCTTTCCATATAAATTATATTCATCATTTATTGACCATTTTTATAAATTTAGATCATTGAAGGTCGAATACTTGTAGAAGCGTGGTGTGGTGTGGGGGATGTTTTTCCTTTTAGGACAAGCAGTCTTTGACATTGTGAATCCTGTTTTAGATCGCGTGAGTTGCACCCCCTTTCTTAGTTTGCGTGCTTTGTGTGGTGTAAATCGCTCTTTTCATAATGACTACGTATCACTTTGCGGGATGTCATTTGAATAGTAACTGATTATTTTAGAATGCTTCTAGATCTGGTTCTTGCGAGGAAAATATCTAATGCAAGATCCTGTTGATGAACAGATCTGTCACAATCTCTTAGCACTATAGCGAGATAATGATTGGGTAAATACACAACACTCTTATTTTCCATCTTCTATATGCTTCTTTTTTAGAAGTCTGTGTACATCAAGTATATCAATTGTGTTGGCAGGTGGTTTCACTGTTCGTTTCAGATTTTCTCTTATTTTTGGAGTATACAAAAGTTATCTGTCCTTGAAAAAAGTGGGAAAATTAGATGAAGCCACATTCTAGTTTCTTAACATTTCTGAGCATGTAATTCATGATTTTGCCAAACTGGTGGCTCTATTTTTATACCAGCCAAGTGAGCCAACAAACAGTACCCACAATTTTAACTGAAGTTATTATTTTAAACTGCACCTTCAAATATTATATATTCAAAACATTATGTTGTCTTGTGCTGCCTAAGATTACCCACAATTTAATGTTTTAAACTAAATATTCTGGTGGATTATGTTATCTTAAGTCAGCATAAGATAACAATTTAAATTGTTGGCATTCTTAGGCAGTACAATATTACTCAATATATTTTCATAGCAGGTGCACTTTCAACATTACCCACAAAAATTTTAAACTGAATGATCGTATTGGAGGTTTATGGACAAGCTTTCTTGGGTTTCCGAAGTGGCTAAACATTTTAGCATTTGATGTTTATATTTTTCTTTAGTTGTTTTTATTCTGTGATGAATACTGACTACCTTTCCTGTTAATCCTCAACTTGTTATGTGATTGATTATTCCCTGCTTCTGTATTTACATATTCGTATTACATGCTTCGTCAAACCAATAATAAGTAAAAAAATCAATAATAAGTAAATAAAAGTTGTTCCAACTAAGATTTTTGATGGAATGCTGGTCTCACATAGTATAGTAAATAAATAAGAGATATTTCCCGAATTCAATTCGATATTCAAAGAGCACTCGTTAACTTTAGTTTAACCAATGACTAATGCATCTCCTTCCTTTGCATGTCTTGACTGTGTATTTAGCCAGTCCACCATGGGGACAAAAGTAGGCGAGTTATCTAGAGAACCCATTGTAGAAAACGCCATGTGTTTCTCTGGCAATGGTGTTTTTCCATCCAGCAAGAGCAAAAAAGGTAAGATCAAGGCGAGTAGTAATATCCATATGGATACAAGTTTTGATTCTTGTGAAAATTCAAAACATGAGGTGGCCAGACTTCTTATGCATCAAATCCATCAATTATATCAGATGCTGCTACAGATCCTAAGATGGAGGTTATCAAGTCTATCAAAGACCATGGCGTTTGCTTTGCAGAGACGGAATGTATAGACAAGGTTTGCAGTGGACGACCAGATATGGTTGTACCACAAACCTATCGAATGGAAGAGAGTGATGGCTCTGAAGTTGTGGAGGTTGATGTAAGGATATATTCTTGGCAGATTCACCTTTATCATATTTTTGCTTTCTGATAGTCTATTTTGCTTGCTTCCATCAATGAGTAGGGTAGCCATACCAAAATGCCCTTGAACCTCTATAGCACACTATCTTTGAATATCATTGGTCTCGACTGGTTATGCCAACCCATAGAATATCATGATTCTTGAACGCCCATATAGTCATTTTTATCACCACTGAATGGAACCTGAGCTCATAGGACCAACCAACTATAGCCTCACATCCTTAAGTATGATAATCGACTTGTCCTTGTTGCATTTATAAGTCATCACCAATCACTTCGAGTATCAAGTATCACAAAGCGCTTCTTTCTTTGCAGGAGTTATGATGCCCCCTCTACATTATTCTCTTTATAAAACAGTACTACTTCTTTCACAATCTTCCGAGACATAGCCTTTGTAACTAAAAAACTGACCATGCTTTGAGTCAAATAAGATTGTTTCTTAAAGCATCGGATAAAAAGATGTCTATTGCAAAAAGCATGCTGTCACTTACGATGGTTTCATTCATGCAATGTTTTCTTATTATATTTATTGTATAATTTTTTTTTCATGGTTCTGCACCCCTGTTTTCCCCTTAGGTTGTCTCCACATTTCTTTCTGCTTAAAACAGGTCAAAGTTTGTGATATATGTGGGGATGCGGGGAGAGAGCATTTACTTGCCATATGTTCTAGGTGTACAGATGGAGCTGAACATACGTAAGACTTCAAGTTGTTTCGTTTCATTTGTCTTCTCCTTTAGTTTTTTTGTGATACATCAGAAAGGATGTCTTCTCCTTTAGTGCTTTTCAATTTTGATGACAAATTCTGTGTTTGTATCTTAGCTATTGCATGCGACAAATGATTGAAAAAGTTCCAGAAGGTGATTGGGTGTGTGAAGAATGCAAATTTGATGAGGAAATGCAAAATAAGAAGCATGCAAAAAGTGGCAAGATCAATGAGAAGGAAGAGACTCCATTTCAAAGGATAGCCATAGCTAATTCTGACCATCCTAGAATAATTAAGCCAAAAATATCTGATTCGGGCACATACACAGCTATTAAAGAACAATGTTGTGTGAGAACATCTGCCAAGAGACACACAGATATTAGTGAAGTTTCTTCAGTGGTAAAAAAACGTCGTCTTGAGTTTATGTTGGGGTCACCAAAAGAAAAAGTTCTCAATAGGGCTGCTTCACTTTCTCGTGAACATTCATTTAAGAACATAGGGAAGCAAAAAGTTAAACTTATAAATCAGCTTTCATATGGCATTGACCTTTCTTTGGAAACTAAGAAGCGACCTCCTGAACCGATTTTGGCCTCATCGAAGGAACAAATCCAGAAAAAGGATGCATCACTTCATCGGGAAAGTTCATCTAAGATTTTAGAATCACGGCCAGATGATAGTAAGGTTTTATCTGTAGCAAAGAAACAAACTCTTGAACCAATCTTGTGCTCACCAAAGGCAAAAATCCCCGTTAGAGCTGCTTCACTTTCTCGTGAGAGTTCTTTTAAAAACATAGAGATGGGAAGAGTGAAACCTCTGAACACTTTCTCTTCTGGTTCTGCTGCAGTTAACGTCTCTTCTTCTGCATGCCTCCAGCTACAACCTCAGCGAGGTAGTAATGTTATTTAGTGTAATTTATAAGAACTAATTGAATGTCTGATCTCAGTGTTACCTAAAGCTTCAAAGTTTGGTTTCTCCAAAAAACAATTGTGCAGGTATGCTCTTAAAGTCAAATTCATTCAGCTCCCAAAATTCCAAACCAAAATGCGAATTTGTGGATCAGGTTTCTCATGCAAAGCAGAAAATGATTAGAGGGACTGAATTTATAAAATCAAAGGAGGGAGCAGTCAGATCATTGGGCAAATCCATGTCTTTTAAATCTCCAACCTCAACTCATTTTAATGGCACTGTGCCAAAAACCAAAATGCTCTCTCCTAGGTTTTCTCGTGATCACGATATAGGGCTAAAAAGGACAAAACAACAAAGTGCTCAAAGATCAAAACTCTCCAATTGCGCTTCCATTTCTTCATCTAGAAGTGATAAAAACCTATTGCGTCATGGCAACCTCTCATATTCTACCTTGAAGGATACTGATTTAAAATCTTCAGGTGATACAAGGGTCATTGACATATTTACTCATTTCTTTTTGGCATTTATCACTAATGGATTTTAAAGGGAGTTTCCATGCATGTCAGGTGAAACTAAGAAGCAAGCATCACACATGTATGGAGTTTCTGCTTCTAATAGAGTTAAAGACTATAAAAAAAAGCCTAATCAGAGTAGCCCAAAGGCGAATTTCTCTTCAAGTACTCCTGCTGCAAAATGTAGTGCCGACAAAGTCACTCATGGGTCTTTAGATGAACCCGCTGTGAAGAATTCAGGTGAAGTCATGCATGAGTCTGGCGATGCGAAAATCGCAATTGAGACCATTACATTCAAGAAACCTGGAGTGCCTGGGAAGATCAAAGTTTCTGACCACACAGAAGACTTGTCTGCATCAAACAAGCACAACAGAGTGTGTACTGAGAATCAGTTACCTAGTTCAAGTAGCAGAATTTTTATCTTTTCTAAAGAGACACATGTGGAGCTTAAACAGTTGGACCAATCAGTTGATGATCCACTTATGCATGATCCACTATCAGTTACCTGCTCTTCCGAAGCTTATACCAACAATGTGGAGAAGCTGGTAGAGCTTCCTGATGAAAGTCCTATAATAACTGGACATGCTGGTCCACCGGTTCCATTTGATGGAAAATCTTTTATAATTAATATGCAACCCTGTTCTTCAACTGAAATGGCATCTCCAAGAACAATCATTCCCGAACACCAGTATATATGGCAGTATGAATCTGAAACATGCTATTTTTATTCATATTTTTCCTTTTGATATCTTGATTGGGTTATCAAGAGGTTGCTGCATTCTCAAAGATGATCCACTTATGCATGGTTTTCCTTGCAGAGGAGGATTTGAGATCCACCGGAGTGGTAACTTCATTAATCTATATGATGGGATTCAGGCTCATGTATCAACATGTGCATCATCTAAAGTTTCAGATGTTGTAGATAAGTTCCCTCAGAAACTTGTGCTTAGAGAAATTTCACGATCGAGTTCCTGGCCAATACAGTTTCAGGATCACGGTGTTCGTGAAGAGAACATAGCCCTCTTTTTCTTTCCTGTGGATATAGTGAAGTAGCCTTCGTCTCCCTGTGAATCATATTTTAGTTCCTTTTAATTAATTGCACCTACTATCTAGAAACTTATGTTTTGTTAATGGTGCAGTTATGAGAAGAGTTACAAAATTTTGTTGGGGGATATGATGAAGCACGATCTAGCTCTTAAAGGAAAATTTGGAAGCATTGAGCTGCTGATATTTCCATCTAACCAGCTTCCTGAGAAAGTACACAGTGAGTATGAGCCTTTATAGGTTAAGTTGCAGTATAATTGTTTTTATCGTGAGTGCTTTCTCATGTAAGCACGTAAGGTGTATATTTTTTAAAAGAACCAATGCACTGCTTTCTTCTTAAATTAGCATTGTTTTTTACTCTTAAAAGCTCTTTTCAATTTTCCTTTAAACTTTTCTTTTGGACTAAGTGTACTTCTCTTCCTCTAAACAAAATCTTATATAAGTCATCCCAAACACACTCTATACCTTTACCATAACTTAGTTCTTTCTAGATTTGTTTTTGGTCAAAATGTTTTCCTATGCTTTAGTAGAAAATTTGCTCAACAGATTATACGTTAGCATAATGCGGAAATAAAACTGAGTAGTTGAAGTTCCCTGTGGGCCGTCTCATTTTGATCTCTATGCTGTAATTTATCCTCTGTTTCATGTACTTGGAAGTGTCAGAAGGTACTCTTAAGGGTCTGTTTGAGTGTTTGGAACTCGGCAAATGCCAGGGAATGAAAACAAGGAGTAAGAAAACTTGAGGGAAAATAACAGATTGCTTCAACCCCCATAAATCAGTTTTAGATATTTGCTCAAACTCATTATATTTGAATATTTAAATTTGATTTTCCTTTGTATTTTCCTAGGTAAAACCAAAGTACCAAACAAAAACCCATTTCTTAGTACTCTTTGACCCTTCCCCTGCTATTTTCTGAGTTCCAAACTTAGCCTAAATGAGCTGAGGTGGTTTCCCTACATCTTTTATAAAATTGATAATATAGTAATGCAGCATTGCGCTTTTTAGGGTAGGACTGAATTTAGCCAACCTTTCTCATCTCCCCCCCCCCCCCCCCCCCCCCCTTCCCCCGTATTCGCAGGGTGGAATATGATGTATTTCCTGTGGGGTGTGTTCAAAGGGAACAAAGAAAACAATTTACGTGTTTGTGGTGCCGAGATGTTACTCACTCAAGATATTCCCAGGACCATGCCACCCATACCTGCCAATTTCTGCAACCTTGGGCCAATTGTGAAAGCTCCAATTGACAGTACTGATATACCTACTGAGACACTTGCTTCAAAAGTGCTTGAACCTGTATCTTCCAATTTAAGAGTAAGTGGGGAGTATGGTCTTCCAGGTTCAACCTATCCCCCCAATAAAACTGTCTTCAGATAGTTAATATATGCTCAATATAGATAAGCCAACAAATTATTAGAATATAAAAGTATGATGAATGACTTAAGAGTTTTAACTTCCATGATTAAAAGTTTGTAACTTGGTGAAACATGATTTGGGGAGGTGCATTAATTTCACACCCAATATGATGTTTGAAATGTTGATTACATGTTTGTGCTCCTTGCAGGAAGAAGGTATTTCTTCCAACTGCAGGGTGGAGGAACAACACAGCTTTGTTCCTAATAGTGAAAGAGTTACAAACCCTGCTATGAGTGCTCAGCTTTCTGACGAATGCGCTACCCAACCCGTCCTACAAAGACCACCACTTCATTTTCGTGAAGCTCCTCTAGCTTGTATGCAGGAGGTAGTTTCTGTCACGAGTCAATCTATGAAGAAATCTAGCCATGAAGATGGTGTTAACTTGTTTTCGGTTAACCAAGACAGAAACTTGAAATCCAGTGTCAATGGATTCTTTGCACATAACAATCAGACTATTATTATTACCCCACAAGAGAAACCTCATGATAAATCATTGACCGAGGCTAAAACACTTTCTTTCCCTGCTTCTCCTCTTCTGGTTGACGACCTCAAGCATGATGCCAGCGTGATGCACAGGAAAATGCATTCTGTGGTGGAAAAAGATCTACTCCATAATGAGACTCTGAATCTTGAGCTAGCTTTAGTGACTGATGCAAAATGTGGTGTTACCCCAACAAAAATCCAGCTGGCAGATAATGCCTCAACAAGTAAGGTGGACGAGGAAGTTTCTACATCTCTCTCTCTTTCTCTCTCTCTTTCATTTCCTTACCCTGAAAAGGAGCAAGGTAGCTCCTCTCCAAGGACTGCTGCTCAGAGAGTGGCTGGAAGGCCAGGACATGTAAATACAACATTCCTCCTCTTTTAAGGATTTAGAGAGAAGTAGAGACAAGTTACAAACAACCATGTTCATCGTTATACTTAAATGCACCGTTACTGTTTCACATAATGTTTTCCCGCTTCCGTCCATAATGTTAGCATTCATGGAGAATTATTAGCAGTGATGTTGTGTGGTGCCATAGAACGATTACCATTGATTTGCCCTTTTATTATACCTTATATAAATATTTTCTTGTATGTAAGGTATGCCGTCTTTGCAGCATGTGTATATAGCCATCCGTTGCTTACAGGCTGCAGAGATAACTTTTGTAATTTCATCTCTTAACAACAAATATAGTCACAGTCGTCCATCTTGGACAAACTTTTGCACCATTGTCCATTAAAATGGTTTCCACTTTGATCAATTCTCTCTAGTGGTTAACTCTTCGTAAATAAACTCAGTTAACGTTCATTATTGAATTAAAAGAAAAGAAGTGATTATAATTTTAAATTGTGGACATGTTTAACGACTTGATGTTCAGGAGCCATTGCAATAAAACATACTCCAGTCTTGCAAGTTCCAATTATAATTTCTCTCTCTCATTTGATTACGCCAATTTTCAACAAAAAAAATAGTATAATCATATATGGAGTAATTATTTCGTTAAAATAAAAAGGTTTATGTCACCTTTTTCTTCTGGGGTAGATAAAAATCATTAAAACTGGATACATGTTTGTAGGTTAGAACAATACTAAATTACTAACACAACATTCATGGGGTACGATAGGGTGAAATATAGTAGTGAAAGTTTGATATTTTGTTTATGAACAAGAAATGAGAATATTCATAAACGCAGTAATCAACAAATTTTGTAGATAAATAAAGAGCAATTTCTCTTGGTAACCATGATGGAAATTAAATATTATAACAATTTTTTTACTAAAAAATATATAGAACTTCTGATAATATAGATTGCAAAACTTTTTGAAAACATTTTGAGGCGGTTTGGCAACCCTCATTTTCGGCTTATCAGCCAACTTTTTTACCAAACACGTAAATTTTGCTTTCGCACGCTGAATTGTGTAATAAGCCGAAAAAGTAAGGTTGGAGTTACTTTTCTGGCTGTATTGGCTGAAGTTACTGTAGATGATCATTTTAGCTATTTTTACATATAATTTTTTCTTTATTTTATTAATAAAATATATTTTAAAAATATTTTTTTCTTGTATCAGCAGAATCAGCCAATGCAGTCACTTCAACCAGAACTTCATAAATTTCAGCAAAATCAGCCAAAACAGCCGATTTTCGTGCTACCAAACGGGATCTTTGAGAATCTTGTAATGAACACGAGGGAAAGTTTGTACGCAATTTTTTTTGAAGATTTAAATTGCAAAACTCTTTAAGTCATCTCTTTGAGCTTTTAAGTTCAAACTTGATTTCAAAAATATAAAAAATAATTGGTGCTTGTCCGTAATCATGTTTTGGCATATTAACTTTATCAGGCAGTATTTATACTAAACACTTTCGATTTCACAGGCTAAATTGGATAATAGATGCTAAATCAATATATATATATATATATATAAAAGATGAACTTTTTAAGAGCATACAAAGCGGCACATAATCCCGACATGTCATTTATATATAACAATTATTAACTTATTTTTATACCTTTTGTTTTTATTAGATTCTATTTTTCATTGCATATTGATATGGAAACAAAAATCCTTATAAATCCACCTTAATTAATTTGATAAACTTCAAATAAGTGAAATAATTTTTGGTTATCAAAGTGAAATTCTAATAACGTTTATTGATATGGAAACTAATTTATATTAGTTTACTACACCGAATTAAATAGAAACAAATATGCAAAGTAGTTTACTTATTAATTTGACACCTATTAATAAATTAGTAAGCTTCAAATAAGTAAATAATTAAAAATGAAATTAAAAATTATAACCAACATAAAGTACATATATTTTCACAAGTAAATATGTTTAGCTTAGTCAAACAAGTACGGAGTAGAATTTTTTGGTTGTTTCTTTATTTTACACCTAAAATTCAAATATGTCTTCACTTTTGAAATAGATTCCTAATCCAAATTAGAAAATCTTTATAGGTTTACAAATTCCTACTTTTATTTTAATACCGTAGAATGTTTTTAATTGGATTGATTTCAGTTCCAGATTAAATCGGATCAGATCAAACTTTAATAATTATAACAATAAGTCACATAAAAAACAAACATCTAATAGACCATATTAATTCATACCAAATCAAACCCGAAATTTTAATTCAATTAAAAACGTTCTTATTAATGAGTAAACTGTAAGATCTAACAATTAAGAAATATAGAATTTTTTTATTATTGGGTTCATAACAATTATGTTTACTTGAGATGCTTATGTAGAAGACCAATTTAACTTTTTTTCATATATTTTTTTCTTTGTTTCACAAATGGAATATATTTCACATATATTTTCATGATTCAAAAGATTCCACCTATTTAACAAGAATTCAATCAATTTCAGCAAAATAAGTTAATTCTATTTACTTTAGTATTATCAAACAGACTCTATATTAGACTAAGTTCATTTCTCTTTTAAATCACATTATATGTGATCCGATAGAAATTAAATTTCAAATTAGCTAAATTACATACTGCCCGTGCATCGCACAGGCTTGAAAGCTAGTTAGATAGTAATGAAAAAAGACAGCTGTTTTTTTGCTGATACAACTCCATGGTACATAAACTACATACACCAACAAAATAGTTGGAAAACCTCATGAAGAGGAATATCAAGTTATCAACTTCAGCTCCAACTCACAAGAAATGGGCCGGTTCATCAAAGTGCGAAATTTTATTTGCAACTCGAGGACTTAAGACCCTCAGTTCAAGATCCAGTTTCACCCTCTACGAGTCCATGTTTTCTATCCAGTCGCCATATATCTTACTTATTTTATCAGGTCCCTTCCATTTGTGGATAGGCCTCCTCTCAGACGTTTTACTACTGAGAGCATATGTGGCCGAGGCTATCTTTAGATCTACCGGTGGCTTTAAGGATCCTCCCCCTGGATTTATTCCTGAAGCAGACCCGTTGCCTTCACCCTCCCCTTGTGCTCTACCAAAATTGTGCAGCTCTGCCATAAAATATGTTTCACAGATGACTTTAGTGTAAAAAAGAATGATGCCAGTAATCAGTCCAAGATAAAGTGGTGAAGCCGTATGAAATATACAAAAGGTGATCTACAGTTCTACACTCTTCATGGGCAGTTTGAAACTGGAATGATTAAACAATGTTTGAAATCCCAAAAGTGATAAGGAAAGGGGGAAAGGATATTTTTAATGTTTGGCTTTACTTTGGAGAATGCAATGAAGAATAGAATTTGCTTAGAACAATTTGAGATGTTAATATAACTAGACGTCCTAGTGGTTATATAATGAAATACGTAGTATATCAATAAAACAAGTTTGATTAAATATCTAAATTTGATTTATTGAGTTTCAAGTTTTCAACCAATATTTCATCCCCCCTCCCCCGAATTTTATTTCCTTCCAAATTTCCTTTTCAGATTCAAGACAAGGTTTATTAAATAAAAGAAGAGTTCTTTCACACCACTGTTTTGAACGCTTGGATGTTCAGTACACAGTAGCCAGGGACTAAAAACCTATGGTATACACAGAGTCCTCTGTCCAACTCCCATCAAGTTACTTCTTCCAATGTTTTACCTCCTTTATCAGTTAATGCGCTAATTCATGTGTGGAATGACCAATCTGGGAAATCAAGACTGCCGGATCATTTAATAATTAAATGATGATTAATTTTATGATTTCCTTTTGAACTCCTCCCTAGTTCCTAGTCATTCAGATTGCCTCCCCAAGGAACAGAAATTCTAAGCTTAGAGCGGTAAACTAACATAGCAGCTAAGCATACTAAGAAGAACCGTGATGCCTTGAATGCTTTTTCTCCATGTTCAATAAATAATTTGATATGGAACTGCTTGCATGTTATCCATCATAGTACATACTTCAAATGGAAATGAAGAGACCCTTTGGTAAGGTTTTTTGCCAATATGTCTAAATCTGCTGAAATTTCTGAATGAAAAGCATTTAGCAAAATCTATTTCCGGCAGGCACGCCTTATCAAACAGAGCGATAAAAGCCTATTTTCCCTCACAAAATGAGGTGAAGTAGGACATTTTTTATTTTATGTTTTGCAATTCCACTTGGATCCCAACTAACCCTGATTAACTCCCTACCGATTGCTAAGCCCCAATTTACCACATAGCTACAACATTGCACATTCTTCAAACACTACTATAACAGCTGATTAAACATACTTCTATTGAAAATGGAACTCAATTTTTCACATGAAATGAGGCAAAATAACACAAATGCTAACACATTGACAAGGATAGCATCAATACAGACTGAGTAAGAATATAAACCATACCTGCTACCCCATGAGCGAAATGACACTTATTGCCAAAAGGGCAATAGCCAGTAGTTTCCCACTTCTTACAAATCCTTGTCTTCCAGTTGTTTGGCTTTTGGTACACTGCCGTTGGGTTATTCATATTATTACCAAAGTCTCCCCCGGTGGGAGTCACACTAATGGCCACACTCTCCCTAGACCGCAACTGCTCATCATGAAAGAAGGTGCAGCTATCTCCAAAAGGACATCCCTCTTCTGTATAGAACTTCTTGCAGTGCCTTCCCTTGTGAGACCTGTGGAACTCGGCCCGCAATTCAGGGGAACTCATGGTCTGAATCTGGCGGTGTTCCTCTCTCCGGTGCTCCAATGTCTCATGATCAGTGACCGTCTCTTGCCAATTAGGTGGCGTCTTACGAAGCTCTTCCAGCCCATGAGCAAAGCTACAGTTGGTGATATAGGGACAGACCCCAGCACGAAACTTGGAACACAGTTTGGTCTTGAAGAATACCTTTCCGATGGCTTTGGATCTACTTGGGACTATGACGTGAGATTCTGAGCCCTGTGAGTTTCTGGATTTCTTAATCGGGGGCTCATACCTATCGTCATTCAAGGCTCTATAGTCTTCCTCCGTTGCCCATAGAGCCGGGTCATTCAATCCTGGAAGGACTTCACAATCCATGAAACCCATCAACCAAACCAGCTAGACAAATTTATTTGAAACCACAGAAACAAATATATATATACACATATATACGCGTGCCAAGAAGCACGAAGTATTGTAATCACGTCTAGAAACAAACATGAAATCTCAAAATTGTGGATGGGATTGAATGAAGATCCATAGACCGAGAATCCGCGATCGGATGCAGAATACAGAAAAATTGAGTACGGATTATCCAATTCAAAATTTGCACACGCAATTCTCATATTCAAGTAGACATCTTAGTTAGGGGTGGGAATTTTTCCCCAAATTCCGACACTATATATATACATATATATAAATATATATGAATATATATATATATATATAAATGAATATACATTTACAAAAAATGAATATTTATCTAAATATTAGCATATCTTTTTTATTTATTCCTTACATAGATTAATCTTTTATATTACAATATCAAACTTCTAAAACTATTCGGCATTTGTCCCAAACTGAATATTATGGATCCTAACTAAATAGAGATTATTCTTCATCCTGACAATCTAAATCACAACAATAGTACAATTTTTGCGGTTTTGATGAACTCTTTAAAAAATCATGATTGAGACTAAATTTTCTTTCTTTAGTAAATAATCATAATATGTATATATACATTATATTCATGGGTCACAAAGTTTCTCAATGAGTCTACTTAGTTTTGAATTTTAAAATAATATACGTTACACATCCTTCTTTTAGTAAATTTTTATATAATTTTTGAAGTAAGTTTCACTAAGCTTTGATAGCTTATTCAAAAATTATACTATTAATTAATTGAAGTTATAAATAAAAAATATTCTAAAATTACGTACTACTTTGAATTTGAGATGATAATTATGACTATAAATTTTATAAGCGGATGATGATAATATGGTATACTAATGACCAAAGAATAATATTGAAACCACTAACTATCAAAGTTAGTGTACGTTTAACTAAAGAAATTACATAATTTCATGTTTGATACATCATTGTCGGGATTAAGCGAGATTCCCGACCGGGAACCTGACTTAATCGGGATTTTAATGTCGGGATCCCGACTTAATGGGGATGGGATACGGGAACCTCTTGTATTTTGAATCGGGATCAGGACGGGATCGGTATTTTGGCAATCGGGATCGGGATCATCCCGATCCCACCCCTAATCTTAGTAGACATCGTATGTATTCAAGTACATAAACAATTACCTACAATGTGTGCGAAATGCGTACAAATTTTGTATACAAGTAGCATTTTTATTCAAAATCGGTAGCTAGAAATTTGATATCGAAAGAGTGTGTGTCCATGGAAGCCCCTAGGGTGGCATGGCCGGTGACTTCTTTTGACCCTGAATTTGGTATAATGCTCATGTTAAAAGTAGTCTGTCCAAACAAAAAAAAACAGAAAAATTGACAATTTTATCACAAATGTCAACTATTGTGAGATACTCCTTCAGTCCCAATTTGATAATCCTATATTTTCTAATTGGTTTGTCCCAAATGATGGTCTTCTTTCCATTTTGAGTAAAAAACCTAAAGTGTGTTACCATATATTCCCTTTTTTGGTCCCATACATTTGCATTTACCCACTCTCTATGTTGTGTGAGGGAACTTGGTGTCTCTGTCTTTAATCTTCAGTGTCGTCTCATCTCTCTGTCCCATCTTCATCTTCATCTATTACCCTTATAACTCTACAAATGGCATCGAATCACAGTGTTGAGCCAGTTGAAGCCACTGTCGATGTATAATCCTAGTGCCATGCAGAGTGATTGTTTCATTAGGTTGTGGATGAGACGCAGATGGAAAGCGAATATGACAATGGTGATGATGATGATGATGATGATGATGAAAATCCAAAAGGCTGAAATCCTAGATTTGTGATTTATCTCATTGAGGATTATGGGACAAAAATATATGGAGATTCAGATTTGCCTTGCCATATGGATCTGTATGTGGAGGATACATATGTGTTGAACCCTAATATCCATGACGAAGAGGAAGAGGTGACATCTCTTCTGAAGCTCTTATTCCATCTGCGAAAGAGGAAACATGATCGGCCAACTATGTTGCAGCTCTTCCTCCCGAAATTGTTTGAAGCCCCTATCACATATTTACGCCAATGAAAGCTCTTTCTGTATACCTTAATATCTCTCTATCTCACCAACATGTTGGGGGACACGTTGGGGGTTAAATGATTGTATTGATTCTCACCCGTGTATGCTAATGACACTTATGTCTTCTGCGGTCACTTAGCCTACTGTCTGAAACTTTGTTGAGGTTGAAGTAACCCAATGCAACCTCACTGATGACAATTTTAATGTCTAAGAGGCTATTATGTGACCTCTATGAAGCTTACCAGCTGTTCGAGAGGTTTTTATTTGTTAAATTACACTAGTAATTCACCCATGCATTGCACGGATGGAAATTATAAATGATTCTTAAACATGGTGGGTTCAATTGAAAAAATTAAACAAAATTAATAAAAAGAAGAATAATTTCGGTATACTAAAAAATTCAAAAAATGTAAATAAATTATTAACTGTTGTAGGGAGAATTGAGTGTAGAGTTTCATTACCAAACACCCCTATAAATAGGGATAGATTAGGGTTTACAAGTGTGAGCCAACAGGTCCATAATATAGAGTTTACATAGAATGATCATAATACATATTCTATATACACGATAACACACTACACAAAATTTCCTTCAACATTAACACTAATCATTTGATATACCCGGTCTCTAATGTCCAATGATCTTGAACATCTAATCATTATGACCTAAGTTGTTTGTTTAATTTATTACACCTCTAAATTATACGTATGGGTCTCCCGTCTCCGAAGCTCTAAAGAATAAAGACGCCTAATTTTGACTCTTTAATGTGCTAAAAACTAGAACTAAATCAAATATTTACAGACTGTTTCTTATGCTACATTTCTACGCTATATCATGAAATGGTTGGTTCTAAACATAATTATCTAAAGCTTGTATTGCTTGATGAGGAGTTAGAAACTTAGAATCAAGTCGGACGCATCTTGCAAAAGTATTTAAATTGCTTCTTGTAAAATCGTGTGTAGTGATAATTAATGGTGATAATTTTTTTTCATTAATTTGCCAAACTATATAAATAAGTTTATCTCCAATTTGTGAGTATTTATCATCTTCACGATTGATATCTATATGGGCATTTTACTTGAACTAAAATTTGTTGGTCTGATCAGTTTAAGTCTGATCTAGTCTTAACTGATCTGGTTTGGTATGATAAATGTCCGGTCTATGTGTATTTTTTAACTGTGGAAGTCTGCTCTAGTCTATTTGAATCTAGTCTGGTCTGATCTGGTATGCTATGTTTTCTGGAACTGAAAACAGTCCAAATAAAAACATCCTATATTTTGGAAGGAAAATAAAAAAGTATACAAAAATAATCAATATGGGTGAAAAAATCATGCCATAAATCATTAAATCATTTAATAAAAATTACAGAGCAAAATTTATGTATATTAATTAAACCATGGATACATATACTCCACCACTATTTATGATCACCGTCTATTTTGTAAAACTTAGTTTCTTTAGCAACATAGAGATAGGGGTGTGCACTATCCGTTTTATGGTCCTTCGAGTTTTGCACCAATTCCACAATTAGTCCTCGTCTTTCATTTCATTCATTTTTGGTACCTGACTATTGTTTTCTTGACCATATATAGTCATTTTCTGATAGTAAAAATGCTCAGAAATGGATCACAAATGGTCAAGAAAACAATAGTCAGGTATCAAAAATGGATAAAGTGAAAGATGAGGACTAAAAATTGAAATGGCACAAATTAAACTCGGAGGACCTAAAGTGGAATTAATTCATTTTTAAAAATATATTTACTAATACTAATACTTCGTATAATAGTAGTTGTATGTAACATGAAGTTGATCAAGAGAAATTTTGTGTCTTCTTCTGCATTCGCCACTTCAGCATTTTTCCACGATGAAGCTGACTCATCTTCCGCCGCCCTCTGCACAGTATTAACTTTCGGTTCACACGGAGTATTAGCAGGGTCGTCTAATGAATTTGGAGGTCCCGGTTCAAAATGTAAATTTGGGGCCCTACATTAATACGAGTATAGATTTTCTTAAATAAAATCTCAATCCAAATACTTATACTCAAATAAATGGAATGCTCATTAAAAGAGAACTAAAAGAGTAAAAGGATCAACGAAAAAAATGATGTATCTACATTTTTCTTTCTTACTAGCTAACTGTATTTTACTGATTAGTATTAATATACGGAGTATAATATTACTATATAATACTAATAAGTTTTTAAAAATTTGGGGCCCCTTAAATTTGGGGGTCCTGTTCTGGATAACCTATTGAACCACCTAAAAACGATCCTGAGTATTAGCCATCAGATCCTATTTTAACGTCGGACTCGGTTTAATCTTGTAAGTCTTACTCATTCAATGAATTTTGCTAAAAAAAAATTCTAATCATTGGACGGTTCCATAGAGGAACTCGATGTTAAAAAAAATAATGCTGTATTATTTCAACTGTGTGTGCAATTATTTCATCCAATAAAAGAGAATTCTTTTGGAATTTTGATTGGCTAGTTATGATTGCCTGAATCATTTCATTTTCATTTACCCCAGTGCCTCAAAGGCTCCCACCTACGGTGGAGGTAAGGGGGGTCGGATGTACGCAGTCTTACCCCTGTACTAAAGCACAGAGAGACTGTTTCCGGATGACCCATAGTGAAAATATCGTCCAAAATTGCATGGACTGACTGCTGCTTCATAACAAAGAAGCGCAGACAGTTTAGTGAGTCATTTTGCTTTATTCCATCATAATATCAAGACAAAAAATAATGAATATTTGGCTCCATTGCAAATGATGGAAAATATGATGTTGGAGGTTAAATGAGTGTATTGATTGCCACCCTTATATGCTAATGGCACTTATGTTTTTTGTGATCGCTCACATATTGGATGAGACTTTCTTGAGGTTGAGGTAACCTAATGCATCCTCGCTGATGGCAATTTTAATGTCTGAGAAGCTTATCAAATGTCTGAGAAGTTTTTATGTGTTAAGCTATTGGAGGTCATATGATTGCCACCCTTGTGTGTTGATGGTATTTATGTCTTATGTGACGATTCAATTTTAATGGTTGAGAGTTTGTTCAAGTTCAAGTAACCTGGTGCAAACTCAATGATGACAATTTTAATGTCCGAGAGACTATTATGTGACCTAGACATACAAAGCCTTCTTAAGGCGACACACACGGTGAGGAAACGAGGGATGA